CCCCAAAACCCCAAAACCCCAAAACCCCAAAACCCCTGACGTTTTTATCACAGCAGATGCATTTAATTAAATAGATTAAGGTTAAAATTAGTTATATATTGTATAATAACGTGATATTCAATCCAAATGATTGCTTCTCTGTTTATAGTATTCTTTGTTCCCATTCATAACACTGAAGTACTGCATATGCATGTCCTCACTTTCTATTTCCTTGTCTAAAACATTGAATTCTAAATCGTCCTCGATTATGGAGTCATCAGACTCTACTTCTGGTATTTCTACTTTCCTTATAACTTCTTTCCTTGTCATTCCAACTACTTGTAATATTTCATCTAATAGTTTCTCTATTTTAAGATGAAGAGGTTCACTGCTTCTTTTGAACTTCAACGCAGCACATCTACCAATAAACTCAAGAAACTCAACAAAGATCATCTTTTTATAAGGATTTTGACCCTTTTCCATTTCATTTCTGACAGTCATCTTGCTCATTCCATAGGCATAAGTTGCTTCTTTGAAAGACAAGCCTGCTTTTGAGTCTTTAGTCATCAAGTTTACAGCATCTGAGAGACTCATGAATTACTACTTGGGCATGAAGTACTTCTTGTAGATTTTGTTAAGTCCATCGAGGTTGGCATCAAGAACGAGATTCACATCTCTGACCCATAAATCTTCATCTCTAAATTCTTGCCATGGCAAAGGAACGGAATACTTTAAAATGTTATTCTGTAAGAGTTTGTCCAAGGACTCAGAATAGGTTTATGCTAAATTTGGTTCTTTGAATTTTTAAGCTGCTATTCTAACAAGGATTTCCCAAAGCTCATATCTGCATAAAGCTCTGTCTGGGTTTTCTTATATATCTTCTACTTCTACATTAGCAGCTATAAATATTCTATCAATGGTTGAGACTTGCGTTCTATCGTCAATTATATTGCAGGACTTCATAAAATTAACAAAGTCCAACCATGTCAAATTCGGGTAGGTTGACATACTAATCATAGTGAGATAGATTTTCTTAAGTTCCTTAATATTCTGTTTAAAAAGTTGCTCTATATCGTCTATTTCCTTAGGGTCCTTTATGAATTTATTGATTTTCCAATACTTAAAGTCATTCTCTAAAACTTCTTCTAGTATTTGGTCTGAGTCCATTTTCCATTCCTTAAAAACATTGGCTTGCTTGTCCTCGAATTAAGGATCTTTTGGCTTATAGGTCAATGGTAGAAATTCTTCCTTTCTTATCTATGGGAAAAACAATACTGATGGGGTATTTTCTATTGACAACTGCTCTACACAGTTAGTCGGTTTTACAAAATCTGCAAACACATAAAGATTCTCATTCTATTAATCGATCCTGAGATTATCAGGCAAGTACTAAGGTTATTTAAATCTTAGATGCTTTTTTAATATTGCTAACCAGTTTTCTTTGTAATCATCTTCAATCTGTTTTTTTATAGCATTCATCTTTTAAAGTTTGACACTGTTGTTTCTATTTATCTAATTAACTGCATTAGCATCTAAAGTCTTTAACATCTCCTCAAACTTCTACTCAGGATCAACATAATCTGGATCTATTATCTATGCGAATTCAAGGATATTAATCATTTTATTCGATCTGACATTCATTAAAGACTCATAACTTCCTTTTACTTTGATGCTCACATTTTAATCTGCTATAAGGGGCTCTAATTGAGCAGCTGCTGATTTTAGCTATTAAGCTTTTATAGCTCCAGATCCACCTAGAAATCCTGATAGAGGATTGAGATTTGCCTTAGGCTTATCAGGGTTTTCATGCACTTTCATAAAGATGGTATACTACCATCTTCCACACATGACACATTCACGCATAATCTGCCAATTCTCTGCTCCTTTTATCTCAGGATGCTTGAGTATTCTCTAAAGTATGAAATTATCCTAAGACTATGCGGATTCGTTCTAACTTAAATTATAGCATGTAAAAGCATGTAGTTCTTGCTCCCCGTTTGATTTCATAAACATAGTTTTCATCTATTCTTTCCAATCATTTTTATAGAGCATAAATGTATTGGGCTTTTTGTACCTCCTCTCTATTCTCTCTTATGCCCCTATCTTCTTCTAGAGATAGGAAAACAGTCTCACACTTTTGTATAAAATTGGAGTGTTACTGATATGAACTGATTAAAGTGAATGAGCCCTTTTTATGCACTTTATTATATATCTCAATTGAGTCTCGGAGGAAAACATCTTTGAGATGTCTAAATGAACTAGATTTTTGTTGTTCCTGATAAAATGCCCTAGTGGTGTTATATCTACATCCTCTCTTACTTCATTCCAAGAGATATTAAGATATTATAATCTCTCATTATGCTATAAGCTCTTAATAATCTTCTGCATGGAATGAGCACTTAGTTCGTTCCAGCTTATATCTAGGTCTATAAGATTTGGAGATGATAACTTAGATATTAATTAGACCAACAGATCAACTGAGTATTCATTTAGTTTAGTCTTTGGTATACTTAGCTTCTTCAGAAAGCAAGTATCTTTAAGGATTTCTAGCATATTATTTACTGAGCCAGGCTAAATTTTACAGTTTACTAACCTGATCTCCTCTAATTAAAAAGGAGGAATTTTACTCAGATACTTTTCTTTTAGCACATCAAAGGCTCTTAAACCAAATTCATTCTTGTTACAGTATATTATGCTTTTACAGCTATCCAATTAAGTCTGATTAAGAGAATTCAGAATATCAGCAAGCTGGTCATCTGTAATTTGGTTGTTAGAAAATGTTAACTTGGCAAGTCTTTCTCTACTTAATTGAAATGACTGGCAAAGTGCTTTTACAACACCTTCATTTAACTGATAGTCTGATAGGAAGTATTCATTGTTCTTAATTTATATCATTGCCTAAGCTAAGGGTACTGCCCTCTGCTTGTCACACTCTTTTAAATATTCTAAGACCAATTCTTTAGTCTTCTCCTCTATAATACTATGATAAAATGATTAATGCTTACAATACTTTGGCTTTGAGACATCTCTTAAACTTTACGAGAGCATGCTCTCTCGATCCCTAATAGACATCAAGAAATCGTAAAATTTGGCTTTTACAGGATCCTCGCTTTCTTTTATGATTTTTTCTCTGAATTTAAGACCTAGACCTCCAAAAGCAATGTTCATTTTCTTAGGTGCTGGCTCAAATCTTGAGCTATCTAGAAGGCTATTATCTATTCTTTCTTTATTTGCATCATCGCGGAGATTCAGAAGTACCAGTTTTGAGAAATCGTCAAAGTTGTTATGCTTTTCAAATTGCTCTTTGATCTTCTGTCTGAACTCCATTCTTTACTCTTATTTCCTAAGGAATGACTCAGTGGTAACATCATCTTATGAAGGCTCATTTAGGAAATTCGGTTCATCTGTACTCTCATTGTTGTCTCTCATTACTGAGGGATCTCTTAACAGATACAAATTCTTTTTCATTCTGTTCTTAGCAAATTTAGAACTTTCCCTTGCTAAATGATTAGTATTTTATTTCAACATACTTTACTTGCTATTTCTGTGTTCATTAATTCTAGGCAAACTCCCCTTTCTAGAATCTTCATTTCTATTGTTAACAGAGCTAAATAGTTTCATACTATTAGTCATAGAAGGTCCGGGTGTCAGTATTTCTTGCCCGTACTTATTCCACACTGGCTTGTCTCCAGCATTTTTAAGTGCAAAATATTCATTAGAAGATTTGTCTCTGTAAATTGCTCTCATTTTTTGGTTCACTATGCCACTCATTTTACTTTCGCCTTAGTTTGGGGTGTTATTGAAAGACTTAGTATCGAGGCCCAGATTCGGGACTTGCATCTACATAAGATCATTCTTAGTTTACTTATCTTCGATTGTCTTAAGTGATCTTTTATCATATCTAAGTTGGCATACTTTACAATTGGCAAGATCTTTGAGTAACTTTGATTCCATGTCGTGAATGCTCACAATATCAGTCAAATTTATTATTGGGGGCTTAGAGTTGTTAGGATCGTAATGTCTGTGATTCGGATCATAATGTTCATCATGGTGATGCTACTGTTATCCCTGTTTATTGTAGAGAGTAGCATCAAAGTTTTCAATTTAGGAAGTGATGGCATCATTTATCTTCTGTTATCTATTTAGTAAAGATTCTTCGAATCCTCTGATGTGAGTTTTATTTCCCATATCGATCGGATGTTGCATTTTATTTTTGGACGATGTCCTAGTTTCTCTGATTTCTACTTTTTTACGCATAAATCCCTCCCCTGAAGTCACATCAAATGAGGGTCGCTTCTCAGTCAAAAATGTTTGTTATTATTGTGGAGATTGATTTGATTGTCTCATAGCATTAACTTCAGGTAGTCTGAATTGCATGATTTTAGCTGGTTCTATCTGTGGAACTTTATAAACTAGCTTGGTGATTCTAGATGACTTGATCGGCGAATGATTTTCTGATCTAGAAGTGTTGTTAGAATTGAAGTAGTTATGATTTTAGTTGTTTTGTTGATGATAATTTTGACTGCCGTTCATTAAAATGGTGGAATCATGGAACTGATTGCTAGCGTCTCTCTTATAGTTCTATTGCCAAAACTACTCCTTGATCTTTTTGAAGACTTCTATTCTATTGATAGCATTTGACTGGGTTTATGTTTCTTGTTATTATATATCACTTACTTGATATTCAGTGAGAACTTTCTTGGCAGTTTTAGCTGGTAATGAATGTAACTGCATGAGTTTGTTTTTAATTTGATGACTGTCATTGATTAGCAAGCTCTTTGGCGATATTCGTGTTTTACCTAGAGTATCAAATAAGTTGTGTCGAGAAGTGCCATTCACTCTCTTCACAGGTATGTTATTAGAGAATTCCTCTTTGATAGGATTGATTATGGGCTAGGGTTCCACGCTTTTTTTACTTCTTGTAAATCGACTCATTTTAATTTACTAAAAACTTTTCTAATTTATATAAAAAAACGATACATGCTTTCTACACTACTTTATCAAGAGGGGTTTTGGGGTTTTGGGGTTTTGGGG